CCCCCCCCCTCTCTCTCTCTCTAACCGACCCAGCCACTGCTGCCTCGGCGCCCCGAATTGATAACCTTTGACTGCAGATTCATTTATCTGTTCTAGTATCCGCCCTGCCACCCCCCCTCTCTCGCACACACACACACGCACTCTCTCTCTCTCTCTCTCTCTCTCTCTCTCTGGCGCACACCAACCACCGCGCAAGCCTCCAGTCATGCTTCCTGTGCGTTGATGAGAACGTCTTGATGGTTCTCGTGTCGGCCTCGCCTTTATGTTGCAGCGGTCGTGCCAGTCATCCGTCTTGCAGGAGTGTCCACTCCAGCAGCAGGGGCCCCGCAGCGCCCCAAAGCGAGCCGCCCCGGCGGCGTGTCGTCCTGCACGACGTGCTGCTGGAGGCCGGGGGCTGTAAGGGAGGGGGTTAATAAAGTGCCTCTTCGTGAGCACAAAAACACGCAACACGAGGAAGTAAAAGCAAGCAGGCATCGGGCCGAGATGTAAGGAAACACCGCGTCCAGCTCCCACACTGTACACCAAGTAACGCAAGTGTGTGAATGTCGCAGACTTATAGGTGTGTGAACGCCATTCGTACACATGGAGAACAAAAGTGTGAATTTCAAGGAAGAAATCACACCTTTGCTCCCGCAAGTATACGAATGGGCATTCACAAAACTCCAAGTTTGGAACATTTACAATTTGCCTTTTCAGTGAATTGCAAAACAGAGGAAGTGAAGGAATCATTACGGCGAGTGCAACTTTTGACTCTCTTGGTCCTTTATGGCTGAAAGTGCGACGCGACCGGAGGCAGCAGTTCATGACTGTGTGGGGCTGGGAGAGGCGTAGCAGTGCGCCGAGCAGGAGCAAGGCCGCCGCTTGGACGCTGGCCAGGCCCAGCCGCGCGCCGGCCCCCCGGCCCCCCTCCGTTCCGGGTGAAATATATTCCTGCCACTGAGAGGCGTTTAAAAGATCCCCCAACGCCGCTGCCTCTGCTGCCTTCGCATCCCTTTGGCCTCTCCCTTCCACTTCCAAGGAGTTTGGCGCCCATGACGCCGCCCCCGCCAAGGCCTGCCCGCGCAACGGGGGCTTTCCCGCCGCCCCGCCCCAACCACCCTGCCCGAACACTCCGCTACGCTCCGCCACGTCCCACCCTGGCCCGGCGCGTGATCAGTCTGGGATTCAAATCTAAA